TATTCGACCACCAAGCCCTCGAATATCCCAACAATGAATCACCGAAGAATCGAAAATCGAAAATCGAGTCGCCTCGACGACTTCTCTCGTAAAAATTACTTTGATCCGAGGGTCGCTGGGATTTCTTTTGTCCGGGGGTTTCCCTCTTGGTTATCAGGCTGAACGAGGGAAGAAATTCACCGGCAATTTCACGCCGGTTCAACTGCCGGAATGAAAGAGACGCGGTTTGGTAGCCAAGTCGAGGCACATCGTCATTTCCGGTGAAGTTGGACCTCGTTAGCCAGTTCGATCGAGCACTTCGATCCCCCCCCCCTCCCCCACCCACCCACGAACTGCATTCCTTTCACTTTCCAGCGGATAAACGGTTATTTCTCGAAAATCAGCCTCTCGATTTATTTACGTTTCTTTCGTGTTGCAATGGAGCGCCGTATTACAATACTTCGTGTATTAATTTTACGGTAAATTGAACTCTTCGCCGCCCCGGTTATCGATGCTCGTCGATTGTATTCGGGTTCGAAGCAATCGCAGAATGTTGCCTCTTAGTTGCAGTTTATCGAGCCCCGATGAAACGAGCTCTATTTACTTTCCACTCGTGGCTGTCTGAACGAAGCGTCGAAAGAGCCGGGGCGACATTTGTCACGGGACGATCGTTTCGAGTATTCGTGGATAACTCGATATCGGGGACGCGCGCGGGAGCTCGACCGATGCAATCCATTCGTTTCCAAACGTCAACTCCTTCGTCAGGGACCGACAGTGTCGTCGACACGTCCGTAATTATCTTCGCTTTCCTGTCCCTTGGGAAGTTCGTGGCAGTTGCTAATTAACGCCCTACACAGTTCCGCCATTTCGCCACCCGTGAATATTTTCGATGCGATACCCCCGTTTCCGGGGTTATTTCTGTTTACCAACCCCCCCCCCTGTCTGTGCTCTCTTTCTTCTCCCGCGCTTATCGCGATCGCAACTTTTCTCCGACGGCCAACACCAGAATATCGCGTGCGGAAACACGTTTAATTACGCCAGACGGCGATGCTTTTGGCACGGCGATTAATTTCCATAAACTTTTACACAACTTTCCTGCGCCCTGTTCCGCCAAACTTCCACGAGGCGACGTATCGACAGTCGATTTATGGTTATTTAAATTGTCAATGTACGGTCGATAACCCCTGCCTTCATTATCGACAGCTACAGTCGGTAACTGGAGAGTTATCGACCGACAAATCGGCTAGCGGTCGGCAACTATCGTGTTCGACGGGTTACCGACCGATAAATCGGCTAACTGTCGGTAACTATCGAACCTCCAAGAGTCGATCAGTCGACGAAGCGTGAAGCTGGGCCAAAAGTTGAGAACGCGTAATAAACGCGAGGTTAACAATTTCGAGGCGGTTCCGGGCGTTAAGTTCCGGACGTAAGAGGCGCGTTTTCATTAGCGCGTACCGGCAGCATCGCCCCGGGGCTACCGAAGATAAGTGGTTATCTTTCGTTCTCTCTTTCTTTTCCGCGAGTCTCGCGGCTGGATCGCGCCGCCCATGGAAGCAGGTTTGTCTTCGTCAAGACGGGACGAGAGGAGCGGAAAGTGGTAGCTTTTTAGAAAGCGCATTCTCCCCGTCCGTCCTCTCCCGTTGGAAACGATCCACTCCGCGGTGAGAAAAGATGGTGCAACGCCGCCGTGAAAAATGAATATCTTCAGTCGACCGAGGGCGAGCAAGGAAAAGAAAAAATAAAAATAAGAAAAGGAACCCGGGTTCGTACTGCTTCCCGTTCGCCCCCTTTTGTAATAAAACGTCATACGAGAATTTATTTACCTCCCCGAGTCCTCGGACCCATCATCCTAGGCGTAGCTTATCCGTTTTACCATACACTGTATCGCAGCTTTCGTTTCAAACTCGACTGCCTCGGAGCGTGGAAATTGGAGCCATATTTCGTCCGACGTTCCTCTTAAAATAACGCGTATAGTCGTCACATATTTGGACGACTCTCGATTCCCACCTCGAGCCTCCAGATTTTCGTAGACGTTTTTCCCCTTTCTCTCGCGTTTCCCTAACCGGTGTCCGTTAACGACACTTGAACGAAAGTTGTTCGGGGACGAAACCAGCTGTCTGCACATTTACATCGTACTTTCTAACCGTTCTAAAACCTCGTAAAAACTGATGCGTCGATCATAGGCATCGCGGACCAGAGGAACACCAGAGAACGAACGTTCACGCGGGAGTATCGATCTGGGGGAGCGAAACTAAATTCCTAGAACAATTTTGACCGTCGAACACCGGTCGCTGAAAACGTTTGTCGTCTTCAACGGGCGTTTTTTTCGCCCCAGTTCCCTCTGAACGTTGAAAGTATACTTCCCGGCGGGAATAACGAGCCGCGACCTTTACAACGCGCGTTAATTAAATTAACGGGATCGTTAATTGTGGCCTGACGGGGTTCCACGGCCTCCCGCGACCCCTGGTTCCCGCAAAACCTGAGAATCAGGGAGGACTTCGTGAGCTTTACGACCAACCAAGGAAGAAAACTCTACGAAAGATCGTCCATTGTACCCGGTCGTGCAGTATCGGGGATGGTTGAGAGTTTATTTCGAAAACGAGACGAAACAAAAGGGTGAAATAAGAGGATCCTCTTGAAATTAACCAACCAGAGATTACTCCGTTCTTCTCGTGTAACATATTCGTTTATGTTACGGTGTATTCATTTTCCTTGGTCGCCGGGAGATAACAACAGGATCCCACGGAGCCGCGTCACGTGCATGTTTTTAAATTCAGAAGAAATCCGTAAAGTTTACCCCCTCGGGAGCATTTTCCCCCGTCGTATCGACATTTCCTCCGTTCCTGGCCCCGTAATAACATTGAAATTCAATCTGCCGTTCCGCTCAATAAAAGTAAACCTACCCGGGGAACTTATCTCGACATCGTCCCTCAGCCTTGTTCCAATTTTCTCTTAATCTGTGATCCGGAGGATCCGGGGAAGGGGGGGGGGCGGACAAAAGTCCCCGGAATCTTGCGTCTAATCCCGTGGAATGCAGTGTGTTCGAACTATCGTGAACAATTTCGCAGAGATTAACCTGAAAACGAAGAAAATTGTCGATGAAAGGAGCTCGGAGAGCAAACACCGGTATCCTCTGGCCATTCGTGGCCTGGGTCAATAACATACTACGTTCCTTCGCTACAAAGATTCTCCGACGGTGTGCTCGTCCTCCTGGAAGAACACCTTGTCCCTTTTGCCAGAAAGGAATTCGTGACGCCGGAGAACGGACAAAACACACGCTTCCTCTCCCTAGCTGCATATATCCTCCACCTAGAACTATCGAAAGAAGCTTTGCATCTAGAACGAGCCACAGTTACAAAGATATTTCGCTGGTTTGGCTATCCAATCTCTGTAATATGCCTTCGGTCTCTAGGAGACACGAGGGTTATAAACGCTGCACGTAACAACGTTTTCCAGGAAGGAATGAAATTAGACGTTGCGGGGGAATCTTCGTACGGCGTCGGGTGTATTGCCTCGTCGCGTTACATAAAACGAGGGATAAAAAAAGGAAACAAAGTAGGCTTAACGAGCCGACGACGATGCAGTTGCGCTTAAAAAAATCGTTGCTCGAGTTTCCAACCCCCCCTCCGAGCGAGGGACCCTCTTTTTCGAGCAACGATTCAGGACAATAACGCACCCCGGTGCTTGGAAATGATTCCGAGTCGTTTCAACGGAAAAGTGCTACCCTCCTCTTTTATGTACTCGGTTGTATAACGCTGCTCTTGGTCTCTTTTTTCACCGCCCCCACTGCCCCTCTCGCCCGGGGAGAACTCACCGTAATGACAATAATCGTATCATGCGACAGCGGCGCATTAAGGGATGAAAACGACAAGAAAAATACGAGGCAATTACTCGGGCGGAAAGATCGCGGGCCCTGGTCGTAAAGTTTCGACACGCGAGGAGACCTTCTGTAATTAAAAAGTGCGTGCATGGTCGTTTAATAACTTTACGACCATGGGAGAAGAATATTATTCTCGCTTGTGTGCTCTGAATCTTGAGGAAACGCGAGAGGCTTTGTTTTTCCTTTTATGTAAAGATACTTGAGAGGGGTCCGTTCTGTCGACGCTTTACCGACTGTATTCATCGGTTTTTTACCGACTGGTGACCTATTACTCGACTTTTTTACCGACTGGTGACCTAGTAATCAACTTTGTTACAGACTGGTGGCCTATTAATCGCGTTTTTTACCGACTGGTAGCCTATTCATCGACTGTTTTATCGACTGGTGACCTATTAATCGCTTTTTTACCGACTGGTATCCTACTAATCAAGTGTTTTACCGACAGATATCCTGTTAATCGCTTTTTTATCGACTGGTGGGGCGTATTAATCGCTTTTTCACCAACTAATAACCTATTAATCAGTTTCTCATCGACTGATAGACTAATATCGACTATCACGAAAATAAAAAATCCTACATTTAATGTTTCTACGAGCATATATGGGTTAGTAAAGTATTAACCAGATATGTACGAGAATTCCTGCAGCCCTTCTGCGAGGGCAACCGATTAACAGGGCGAAAAAGGAACACGGTCGGGGGCTTCTCTCGAAACCCTGGCAGCCAACAAGGCGATAGAGCCGGCGTAGTCGACTGACATTGAAAAAAAAGAACGTTACTCGTCTCTTTTAAGTTGAACGGTGAATAGAGAGAGGGGGAACTAGGGGCTGGCTCGGGGCGCACAGAAGCGTAAGAACGAAATTCAACGCGCTGCAAAGAAATTTATTTCTTTGATTGACATTCAAAAGGAGCACTCCGCGCTTCCTTTAACTTGAATTATGAATAGAAGGGAAGAGAGAGAGAGAGTTGGGGAGCCGCGGCGAAATTTTTCCAGGGAAACATTTTTGCGCCGGAGAGTAGGCGGACGTAAATATTGACTTCCAGGAGGCGGAGGGGGTGGGCTTACCCGGTCGTCTCGAGACGCGAACCGTGATTTGCCCAAAACTAGAATAAACTATGGTAATGACACGACGTTTTCGCTCACCGGCTCTCCATCCTGCACTTGCCCTCCCGCGCTTTGCAGTTGCTTTTGAAGTCCTCGAATATCTGGCTGCACGGTTTGCCGCGCAAACAGACGCTCAGCGCGTGGTTGCAGGTAGGCAGGGCGTCGATGGGGTACGAGTCCTTGTCTGGAACAGAAAAATAGCTCGACTCGATTCGAAACCATACCAAAAATTAAGATAATAAGAACGTAAATAGGGTGGTTCGAGGGGGAGAAATTCATCCGGCCGCGTTGGAGAAATAATTACTGGTCCGTTGGCGCAGGGTAAAAATGATGAAAGCGTCTGCGAGAGGGGGGGAGGCCAATGAAACAAAAACAATAAGAAGACGCCGGTTGCACCGGCGCCGGACCGTGGCAAAAAGAAGAACCAGAAAAATAATAAAGGCATTCTGTTATCAAAGGAAGAAAGGCGAGGTCGGTGCGTTAAGAGGCGAGGAAGATTTTTGCGGATAAAGGGAGGCAGGGGGGAGGTCAGAGAAATTTCCCGTGAATAATTTCAAAGAACCTTCCCGCGGATTCCCCGATAATACAAAACGATCGCAATTAAACAGGCCAGACTCTATTCGGGAATGAAAGGGTCCGAGGTGGAACGGAAAAAAAGGGAGTATCGCCTATGGTTTATTTTAAAAAATTGAGCAAGAGGAGGGAAACACGCTCTCGAGGAGAATATAAACAAAAGGGTCGATGAGGTAAAGATAATGGCGGTGGAGGGGGGTGGGAAAGGATAAGATAAAAAAAGAGGAAGAGTTTAGCTCGCGGAATCGACAGGCAAGAGGAAAGCCATTCTTTTAGCATCGGGAGACGAAAAGAAGGGAGGAACAGAGGAATCGCGAAGCAGACAGAAAAGGGGTGAGTTGGGGGTTGGATCACGGCTGGAACAGCGGACGTGGGTGAAAAGAAGCGCATTGGGAATTATCCGTGAATCGTTCGAAAATGCTCAAAAGGCTCGACGGCCCGGACGAGTGAGCCCTCGGGAAAACGAACAATGGAAATCGTAGGAGAAACCGCAATGGCGCGGGAGGTTATAAAAGAGGCTACAGTCAAAGATATCGCGATCCCTTTGTTTTATTCCGCGGCTTTTTACCTACCCCCGCCCTCGAAAGGAACGTCGAATGGCGCCTGGATCAAATTTCCTTGCGTACCGCGTGTACCCGGATAACTGTAACTGTCGCTCGATTTCGACGAAAGCGGCTTTTTACCTCCCCCCGCCCTCAAAAGGAACGTCGAATGGCGCCTGGATCAAATTTCCTTGCGTACCGCGTGTACCCGGATAACTGAAACTGTCGCTCGATTTCGACGAAAGCGGCGTCAGAGACGATCGAATCTCGTTGGTGGGTGTTTGCGACCGGTTCTGAGTGCGTCTAACGTCCGCCAGGAGTTAGGGTTAAACAAGAAAGAAAACTGGGGACGTTGGAATGGCGGGATTATTGGAAACGTCCCGGAACGCGTGTTCGAGGCTCGTTAAAAGTTCCCTGGATCGTTGCTGACCGAGATCGAGGGAAGTTTCCCCGACACCTGAACGGAATCCCTCGTTACGATCGCGACTCACGATTAAATGCTTGTTGGAGGATCTAACGTCGATTTTTTTTTTTTTGAGGGGAGAAACTAAATCGATCTTAATTGATTTTGGTCGTCACTAACATTCCTTAGACACCAGAGTTCTCAGAGAGATTGGTGATTTTAAAATTATTCACTCTGTTCGAGGAAAATGGAAGGAAATATTGTAGAAGAGAAAATTTTGTTCATGAAAGCTGGTAGGATAGTGTACAATAGGCTGTGAGGTCTTATTAAAAATAATAAATGATTTTGATGCTCCATGGAAGGGATGTTGACCTATTGCAAGGGTAGTTTTAGGCTTCTCGAGGGATGTTCAATTATATCTATTTTTAAATTGAATTTGAGGTTTCCATTCATGGTGAAATATTTTACAGAATGAGATAAAGATGTCTTCTATATTTTGGTGCTCCATAAAGGGGATGTTGACCTATTTTAGGGGAAAAATGAATAAAAATATAATTGTTGAAATTGTTCAATTGTATAAATAAATTGAATACGTAAACCCCAAATCCTGTGTATTCTAAAACTCCACATTTTCCCAGAATAAAATGGGGATTCCCCGGGACGTTTTGATAGCATGGAAAAATTTTTGTACCGGGGGACAGTAAAGTAGCTATCTTGCAGAGTACTTTGGTGAAATAAAACGATCCCTATGCTTGGAAACTCACCCTTCTTTAAGACGTAGATGCAGGGATGGTCGAAGAGGAAGTTCTGGAAGCTGTTGCAATCCGGATCTACATGCGGCTCTCTGCAGAGGCACGTTGGTCGAAAGAAGGGGAAGGCTTGCAGAGTGTGCAGGGCTGCTTGACACTTTGTCACCGTCACCGTCGAACAGGCCACTGGGAACAGTTAAATTATCATTAAAACGGTTTCTTTCTTTATTTCTGGCGGAATAAATTCCCGTGAAAATTTAAAAAAAAAAATAAAATTAAATAAACTCGTGTATCGTAATATTAATTCACTCGTTGCACTGTTTCCGGATTACAATTTCAACGAGCAATAATCGCTGCAGAACGTGTCTGTAATTCGTACCAGCGAGGACCGCAAACATCGAGAAATACAGAGTCCGCGAGGCGAAGATTATCGTTGCAAGAATGGAATGCTCACACCGCAGGGAGCAATGGCGTCCCATAGTCGCGAAAACCGACGATAACACTCCCGTGGTAACAACGAAGATTCTGTAAACGTAGCTGGGCTCGAACGAGCATACGGTTTCGACTGACCGTGACGCAAACAAGGTGACAACGGTGTTTGCGTTGGGGAATTTCCAATAAAAAAAAGGGTTGAACGACTCTCGACGTTGTCCACAACACCTGGCCAAATAAATTCTCGCGAAATTTTAACCAATGACAGCATCAAAGACAGAGAAAATTAATCTTAAATATATTTCGATCGAGTCTGCAATATTTGGCGAACAGACTCTCAGATGGCAAAAAAGAAACATAAAATGAATTTATATGTTCACATATTCTTAAATATATGTTTAAATTTGATATAGAAAAAATTCTTATTGTTCAGAAACGCAAAACTATGTTTTATTCATCATGCACTGCAGTATTCTTTCGGTTTTACTGGATTTATTAACGAAAATCGGCACTTTCACTGTAACGACGCTCTGACTCTCCTTGTGGCGACGTACAACTAACCTAACCCTCGTCTTACCGGTTCGCGCGGGCAAGCAACGCGTGTGGCGCCATATTTGAATCAGCAGTAGAGCGTCTCTACAGTATTGTGACATAAATATTAAGGTAAAGAATTCTTAAATACAAAATAATGTAGTAAGTATAATATATGCAACATATAACACTATTTTACTGTTATTAGTATTAGTAAATTCTGTATTAAATAATTAAATGATTAATACAGAGTTTACTAGTGCTAATGCAGAGTTTATTTGCTTCACTTCTGTATCAAATAATTAATACAGAATTTACTAATGCTAATACAGAGTTTACTTGCTAATGATTAATATAGGGAAATATATGCAACATATAATACTATCATTAACTATTTAATGCAGAATTTACTAATGCTAATACAGAGTTTACTTGCTAATAATTAATATAGAGTAATATACCTAACCTATAATAGCATTTTAATACTGTACTCACTACAATTCTTTGTATTAAAAATTTAAGGTTTTCCTCTTGCCCTAATGTTTATGTCCCTACATATATAATAAATAAAATATACTCTTACATTTAATAACCATCAGACAGAAGAAGAGAATTTAGACCGATCCTTAAATATATTTAAATTAAACATAGCAAACACTATTTTCGTCGCCTATAACACCTGGTGAACCAAATTCTTCGCACAGTTTCAAAGAAATAACTGTTTTTAGGTGTCCTCCAACGCTCAGGAAAAAATAAAATAAATTTTCCTCGAACACTTTGGAGATGCCCCATGAGTTAGGATCTACCATTAGCTGGTTCCAGAGCGCCCCCTCTCCCAATCGATGGGAAACGGGTGGCTGAGGGAACAGCAGGGTTACAACTTTTTCCCCGGGAAAGATGGCAAACGAAGAGTCAGCGCTCTATCTTAAATTAAACATTAACTTCTGCCTGCCAGAGTGTTTTACTTTTCGCTTTGTAGCTCGAACTCGTCCGTACGATCTTTTCTCTTTCTCCTTTCTTAGCGCCAGACCCCCCTCCGGAGCACTCTTTATTTCCTCGTCGACGGAAACCTCGTGGAAATTAGGTCGCCACCGAGTCGCCCGACGCGGTTAACGTCGTTTCCATTGGTCTCGCTCTCGCGAGCGTTCGCAAAAATCCACGTCATTTTTCGTATCAATGTTTAATAACATCCACGCGAACACGAACAATTTATACGACCCGTGGACGTAAATTCCGGATTATCGGAGTCGACGGACACCCCTTATGGAAACTTTGCTCGTCATTTTTCGATCCGATACCCGACGACATCTGGATTCGTTATATCGTCCGCTGGGAGGCTCCAGCTACTCCCGGTTATTACGAAACTTACGGTGTCTTGGAATAGTAATTAAGGCGCCCCGCGATCTCATTCTTTCCCCGAACGACGCTGTACTAATTAATCTACAGAAAAGGAGGGGGGGGAATCCCGGGGAAAAAAACGCGAGCTGAAACTGTGTTTTAACGAGGAAATATTTCAGCCCCGAAAATGGTAATTCCCCCCCGCTGCTCGGGATTATAATTAAATAAAGTGGATATTGGAAATTGCACGATTTGGTGAAAATCGATGAAGGATCGATCGATGGAGGACAAAAGGTGGCAAAAAAAGGTGTTCTCTGCCTTTTTACATTGTGTTTACATAGTAGAATTCACGTAATGGCCAATTTATGTGGACTATCAAGAGTAGTAGTAAAATGTCCGACCAAAATCGTTTTATACTACTTGGAGAATCAATTTTGGTCAATATCGAAGTCTCAATCATCTTTTTATTGAATCTGCACATATTCTCCGCTTGTTTACACTGGGTTCATATGGTAGAATTCACGTAATGGCGATTTTAAGTGGACTATCAAGAGTAGTAGTAAAATGTCCGACCAAAATTGTTTTACACTACTTGGAGAACAAATTCTGATTCATTATTCTAATTCTACCACACAAATCTAGTGTATATGAGTGCAGATTTAATATAAACATAATAAACACTTCCATCAATCCTATTTCGAAGCAATAAAAAATCAAAATTGGTTCTCCAAGTATGTTAGGAATATCGTTATTGCGTTAATTGTTTAGTGTAAATACGTGCAGATTTAATATGATCGATCGATGGAGAACAAAAGGTGGGAAAAAGGTGTTGTTGAATTGTTGTTTCCGTGGTACTCTCGATGGTTACAATACACGGTGTTGCACAAAACCGAGGATCTGGGCGGATGCAGTTGCAGTTGCAGCTGCAGCGACGCTGATATCGGGCTGGCTCTCCCGTTTAATGGTTTCGTGCCGCGCCTATGCTCGCATGGCCATTGCCAGATACCGACTTTCGAGCATGACAGAGAATCCTGGAGGAGGCTGGAGAGAGAGAACGCGTAGGGAGATCAGTACGTACATACGTTTGTACAATCGTGCGGTGCCCATCTACATTCTACGAGCTTGGGCCAACCGACCACTGTCCGAAACACGCGTCTGTATTTCCATTGGAGCTCCCACGGCACTCCCACGCATCCGCCATGAGCCTCTTTTCGAGAATTATTCCTGGCAATAGCTATCGAGAGACCATTTCAAGAGTCAGAAATAAAGTAAATTTTTCTGGGTTCATATAATTATGAAAAACAATGGAATACAGGGATAGATAGTTTTTTAAATAATTTTTATATAGACTCTCTGAACTGTGTTTGCAGAAAATATTCAAATTTGTATGGAAATTTTCTCATATGAGAGATATGGATTTTTTTAATAGTGGAAATTAAAACGACAGATGTTTGGAAAAATCTAGACTTAGTCTAGAATTAGTTATTTTGAGTCGTTGGTGATTTATATTTGTGGTTTTTGGAAATGTCTTTTTAGGTGAATCGAGGACTAAAAATTGCCCGTTTCTTCGATCAAAAGTTTTCTCCGTAACGGATCATTAATCTCGCTAAATGAATGTTCTTTCGCCCTGCGGGGTGAACGACGGTGTCGCGAAAGAAGCGCGGGAGTTTTTGCAATTTTTATAACCGCGATGCGGAGGAATTTTCACGGACAGTTTCATTAGAACGGTCGTGTTAGGAGCAACAACTCCGATTCGCGTGGAGATCCGGGTTTTTGCAACAAATAACGACCCAATTATATCGAGATCGCGACGGGGAATTTTTTAAAAGGAACTCGAAACGTAAAATCCTTTTCATTCCCCGTGGGTTCCTCTTTTCATAATTATCGAAAAAACCTCGATTCGTGTGCATTTTTATAATATAGTGTCTCATTAGCGAGATGTTTCCAAGTCTTTTTAAAAAAGTGATATACAAGAGGAGATCGTTAAATAATACAAAATGAGCCCTCCAATTTTCATCTCTGTTCTCCATTTCCACTTTGATACTTTTCAGTTTTAACCTTTTGACTTGGTTTTTCCGTCGTGGAATAAAAATAATGCCCCATGTCTGACCAAAATCGTTTTGTACTACTTGGAGAGTCAATTTTGGTCAATGTCGATGTGTCGATCATCTTTTTATTAAATCTGCACGTATTCTCCGCTTGTTTACACAGAGTTTATATGGTAGAATTAATGCAATGCCCAATTTAAGTGGTCTATCAACGATATTCGTAACATGTCCGACCAAAATCGTTTTATACTACTTGGAGAACAAATTCTGATTCATTATTCTAATTCTACCACATAAACCTAGTGTATATAAGTACAGATTTAATATAAACATAATAAACACTTCCATCAATCCAATATTGAAGCAATAAACAATCGAAATTGGTTCTCCAAGTAGTGCAAATCGATTTTGGTCCGCCATATTAGGAATATCGTTTTAAATTCGATGTTGCACTAATTCTACTTGGTGTAAATAAGTACAGATTCAATATAGAGATGCATAATGTTTCGATCAATCCTATTTGGAGACAAAATGAATCAAAATTTGTTCTCCAAGTAGTACAACCTGATTTTGGTCAGACATATCACTACTACCCCTGATAACCAAATGAAATTGTCTATTATTTTAACTCTACCCCACAAACCTAGTGTAAATATGAAAACAGACCACAAATTAAAGCTTCACAAAGAGTTGTTTCAACCCCAAAATACAATAAAGTCCCTATCACACGTATTTCTCATCATTTTCATCCGCTCCACAAGCATTTAACGTCCACGAGCGAAGGGTTAATCGTCCCGTTTTAATTATCCGGATATCTATTAGGAATATCCGGCCGCA